AAGTTTATCAGAGTTTATCTATCCTTTTTACATAATTACTATCATATATAAAAGATAAAGGAGTGTTATGATTTTAATTGGCATGTGTACGTGTAGTTTGAATAAATGAAATAGATAGCATACAAATCTTTTGTAATTTAACTTGATGTTATACCGTATCAAAAATGGCTGTAAATTTTTAAGCTTCTTCCCATTCTACTAATTAATAGTTTTGTTCATTTTGGCCAGGTACGTATCTGAAATTTCATTGCGGGGATTACACGCTGTGGCGTCGTCCTAAAGTTACGGCTTTAATACAAAAATAAAGTTTAACGACGTCGCGCAGTCTGTTGCAGTTAGCAATGTTGAGCCCGATTTATTGCTGGCTAAAGAACATTTATTCTCAATACTTTTTATCTATTAAATAACAATAAAAATTAAATTATTTTATTATTACTATTTTCTATATAAATCGAGGTGAATTGGTTTTTATCAACGCCTGTCAATAAAAAATAGCAATGTATCGATGATAGGTTATTTCTCTGTATTATTTGGAATATTTAATGGTTATAGTTTTTTAAAGTTGATATTTATATAGATAGACGTATTAAGGTATATTAATATAAAACAATTTTAGACGACAAAGAACACAACGAGAATTCTTCAAATAAATTTATTAAAATTAATATTTAAAAAATCCTTGAAAAAAAATACAAATAAACCTATACTTATTAGTTTTCTTACAAATACCTACTTCATTTTTTATGTATTCTACTTTATACTTTATCTTGAAATATATAATAGTTATATTTATATATGAACAGTATCCAAAGAACTAAAATAGTTGTGAAATCTCAGATATGATCAAGATTAGTGTGTAATATGTTTGTATGTTGATAATAACTACTGGATTATCTTACATGGAAAATATTCTGCTTTAAATGCGACACATAGCTATTAAGGAGAAGATACTCGATAGAGTATTCAAATAAAATTACACCTAAATACAAATATATTGATGGAATCACTCTAAAGTTATGTACCCACGATTGTTACGATGTGCTTCTTTCATAAAATATGTTAATTTTTTGGTACACTAACTAAAACTACTCAGTCAGAGCTTGGAGGTCAATGAAATATGTAATTATTTTATTAATTTAACTTTCAATCAGAACCAAAAAGGATGTATATAATTGTACAATAAAAAACCATTTATACCTAAGTATATTTTTAAGTGGACAGTCGTAAATTTCTCTACAAAGGTTTTATCACAATCTCATAGATGTTTTCGGAACTTATTCGGGAAAACATTGACTTTTACATAAAGAAATAACCTATATAACTTGTTTAAAGTAATTTAATAATAAATAAAAAATATATCGTCATAAATATAAGATAATTAAATGTTTCTTTATTTAATGAAATTAAACTAAAAAGCTTGTAAAAAATTGTTTATCTGAAAAAAAATATAAGAACGAGAATCTTATTTTTAATTTGTTTCTATCACGAGCCAATAATGTAAGGGTCTATTTATATAATTATTTTTTCCGTTTGATGTAGGATGATTAGTATTTTTTTAATTAATTTCATAATTGGCATCATATGTCATTTTTAATGACAGCGTCACTAGGTATTTCGATTTTTTATTATCTGTACTATTTTTTTTCTCTACAAAGTATCTAACAAGATCCATTATCATTAGAATCTTTAGTCTTATAACCAAATACGTTACAAAATAAATGTACAAATCCTATAAAGTATGTAAAAAATAACAATTAAGATAATATTAATAGAAAACTGTGTGTAATTACCAATTAGTATTTTACATAGCCAAGTCTTCCTCTTAAGAAGCCGACACCTAAATCACTAAGTTTTAAAGTAGTCACTGAGATTTGAAGCCATTATGAATTAGTGTTTCAGTAAATAAAGATAAGAATGTCCTTTGTTTTTAGTTTGTTAAAACATTATGTGACGTGTCATTATCTTGAAGATTTATCATTTATATTACACATAGTATTGTTTATTTTATTATATTACAATATATAATTTTAACTAAAAATGAAGTAGTTAAGTTTTTTGTAATTTATAACAGTGGTATATTGAGTACAGTAAAAGCTCCTTATTCGCGGGGTATATGTTCCGTAAATATACCGCGAATACAGAAACCGTGAATACGGAATGGTAATTTATATGGGATTATAGGGGATACGTTCCTAGGTGACAAAAAAAAACAACAAATTTATATAAAAAAATATTTAATTTAAGTATTTGATCATTATAATTAATTATCTTAAGGCTTAGGCAATGGTTTGAAGAATTTTGTAATTTTTTCTTTCTTGGCAGTTTTTAAAAGCTCCTTCAATTCAGACTGATACACAGCAGTCGCATTAGCAATTTGCCTCTTAAAAATAAGACTTCGTTCCATAAACGGATCAATGTTCATAAAGAAATCGCAAAGTAATTAGGTAAAGTTGTAATAAAATCTATATTACTTTTTAATTAGTCCATTTGACAAGGATATTGTGTTGGATACCTATTTGGAATAATTTTATTATTATGTATGTACTTATTAGATCCGCGAATAAAGAAATTTTTAGTCGCGAATATAGGAATTGGTAGCATTTTTTTAATCCGCGAATAGTGAAAACGCGAATAAAGGAAGCGCGAATAAGGAGCTTTTACTGTATAATAGTTTTAAACTTTTTGTAGAGTACTCACTCAGACGAGACGTAAATAAAGTTGTTATAAGAAGCTGACGAAGGGTTGCAATATATTAAAAAATCTTGTATCGCCACCCTTAAATTGAATTTAAATTCCTATATAACTAGCTATTTAATATAGAGAGATTCATGTAAAACTATAGTACTCAGTCAATAAAGCCCTTATTATTGTTATTCTAATACAAAACAATGAAAAACTCAAAAATATAATCTACATTGTAATTTGAATTCTATAAGAATATGATAGAGTTTATTTTATTTTGAATACATCGAGTGTTCTTGGATTCGAGTTGAAGTTATTGTATCGACTCTCTCAACCCTTTGTTTTGTATTGAATAGAAATCTTATATGAGAGCATCTGAATTTTAAAATTTTACTTGTAACATGAGAACAGTTACACAGCTTTATGTTATGCTTATATTATTAGAAATAAATACGTTTATGTATATAGATCTACATAGATATTTAATATCTTATACATATTACATATGTATGCTTGACGTTCTAACTTTTTTAATTACACAGACTATAAATTTATAAAAAGCACTAAATTAATCACTATGATTGAAAATTGTTCTCAATAAAAAAAAATAACTATTTTTATGAATGTAAAAGTCTTTTCTTATTTTTTTTATTAATATATTTTATCATTTCATCTTTAACTAAAATACACATATCTTCTATGAGTTTTAGTTCAACATACGTTTTAATTTTTTTGAAAGTTCTAATTGGATAATGTTACCATATAAAAACAGATTTTTATTTAATTACATACGTCTTTTAAAAGTGTATAATTAAATAATTTACCTATTAATTGATATTGCTGTATCATTTAACATTCTTATAAAATAATTTTATTGATATTAATCGAATTAAGTGAAAATATTTGTCGTTTTATCTACATATTATTAAAAGAAATGCATTTAACTGAATATTTTAGATTACTTACTGGCATTTAAATACTTTAATTATTTGTAAAACTATCAAATAATATTTGTTATGAAAAAAATACTGAAATTGAAGGATAACAATATTATTAAATACAAATTATAATAAACAAAGCAAATACATATTTTGATTCTAGCAAAATAATAAAAAATAATGTGTTTTTTTTATCTCGACCTGTTTATAGTTAAAAGTTTAAAACTTTAAATAGAAATTATTATCCAAATTTATTGGGCAGTTATTTTTCATTCTTATAATTTTAATGTCAATAAAAACTCCGAATAAGAATAAATTTTAACTACGAATTGTTAGTTTTTGATTTGAATTAAAAATTGTATAGAATCTTAAATAGTAGAGTACTCTCTTAGGTAGTAGGTTATAAAAATACTTAAGAATGCTAAGAAATATTCATTCAACAAATAATATTGGTGGAATATTTTGAGAAATATGAGAATCATATTAAATATAGGTAATTTTATTATTTAACAATCAGAAGTATAAAGATTCAAGACGCATTCCTTCGTCCTTCATTGATAAAACCTTTACATAGTATCTAAGTATTCAAAAGATTAACGTTAAGTACATAATTAAGTTAACAATTATACGCAGTAAAATTGTTTTATTTATATATAAACATATATAATATATTTTATGTTTATTTAATAAGCGTATTGTACAAGGCTCGAGCTCAAAGTTAATAACCTTCTGTGACCCTGACCCGAATATCAAATAACGACCTATAAGATCCACGGCGAGCGATCTACAACACTATCACTCCTTACCTTTACCTTACTTTAAACTTCCTTTATAATTGTTAGGTAAAATATATCTTTATTTAGTCATAGAAACATTTGTAATAATCAGTATGCGGACGTATTAATGCAATTGTATTGACAACAGATTTATGAGTAATAATAATAAAGGATTTGTTGAGCTGAGATATAAATAATGTACAAACCAATAAACATTAATGTGTGTGTAATTTATAGCGGCGAGGTCTGTTGTGTTGTGTGGAGCCGGCACGGTCGACTCTACGACGCGGCATCTAAGCTCATATTGATTACTGGTGACATTCTTATCAATACACCCCCGGAGAGAGCTAGCGCCGCTCAACGCCCAAAAGAAACAGAAACGTTTCTTTGCGCGTTCGCAACGCAACGGAAAAAAGGGCGTCTACAACGAGACGGAGACAGCAGCCAATGATGTCGGACTCCACCGGATGTGAGACCAATAGCGACGGAGAGCCGGGGCGGGCGCGCGCAGGTCGCCGCGCCCTCGTTTAGCACAGTATTTTTATTTATTGTAGCGCGATATACCGCGCGCGACGGGCGTGTGATGCGCGTGTAGACACATCCGATGAAGATGGAGTCCGCCGTGGACTCAGCGTCGACCGCGAGCGAAGTCAGCGGCTCCAGTGGGGGCTCGCCGAGAGTGAAGGCTGCGTCGCCGGCCAGAGCGCTCAGCCCGCCGCTGCTGGCGCCGAGGCTGCCTCTCCCGCCGCCGGGGCTGGGGCTGCTGGGCTCGCTGCAGATGATGCACCACTCGCCGCTGGAGCTGATGGCGGCCGCTCACCACCACGGCCCGCCGCGCTACGGCAGCCCGCCGCCGATATCCACCTCCGACCCGTCAGCCAACGAGTGCAAGCTGGTGGACTATCGAGGCCAGAAGGTCGCGGCCTTCATCATCCAGGGCGACACGATGCTCTGTTTACCGCAGGCCTTCGAGCTGTTCTTGAAGCATCTAGTGGGCGGGCTGCATACAGTGTACACGAAGCTCAAGAGACTGGACATAGTGCCGCTGGTGTGCAATGTAGAGCAGGTTCGAATCCTGAGAGGCCTGGGCGCGATACAGCCCGGCGTGAACCGCTGCAAGCTGCTCTCCTGCAAGGACTTCGACGTGCTCTACCGAGACTGCACCACGGCAAGGTACGTTTCATCTTTGAAACTCTATGTGGTTTTTGTTTTGCGTTCATAGACAACCTAGTACGATATCACGTTAGCATTTAGACGAATTATTTGTAGATTTTTATTTATGCATATTTTTTTAGTGTTTTCTTAATTTTTTGTGTGCAGTGAGTTTTATTTTATTCATTATAAATCTTAAATAAAATCGTCATTTATAAACGAAAGTGATTATAATATAATTATGATGAAAATATCGTGAGAAAGTCTACGAGCAAAATTTTATTATTCTGCTTTTAGTTAGTCCCGTTCAAAAGAATTTTGACAAGCCTTTTAATAATAAAGAACAAAAATTATTCAACACATATTTATCAAGTCTATGACTTATTTTAGTACGTCTTATTTTAGTTCGTTGTTTAATGAACTTAGTCTAAAGGTTGGCAGTGATATTAAAGAAACAAGTGCCTCGTAAAAACAACATCTCGACAGAGGGCCGACAGCCGAGTCCGCATTAATTTTTCACATTTTAATACGCGCCAAATATTTCCACAGGGTTAAATTTTAAAGCGACGGAAGGGTTAATTCACTGTTAATTAGCGGCAAAGGTTTAAATATTTAATATAGTAATTTTTACAAACGCTAAAGTTAGATTAAAAAATGTTTTGTTTTCCGCACATCGCCCGGTAGGCCTATATCGGTGAATGCCATTTTAAAACGTAATGACAAAAGCAACAGTGCTCTTGGGACTTGTAACCAATTTAATTTTTATCCAGTATTGATAATTTAATATTATATGTCTATACTTATATGGTTTTTACGTTTTAAAACAGACTGAATGATGTGTTCCAATGTTGTTTTTTTCATGAAATCACTGCTTCCATATTTGACTGATGATGTTATTAAGTAAACCTTATTTAGGTTACGTTTGTATTTGAGATAAAAGTAGGTTACACTTCATTAAAAAATCGTGTTATAATTATTCATTATCTGTACTTATTTGTTGTTTATTTGGAATATTTATATTATCTGTATTTCTTAAAAATATTACATTGTTACATAAGGTGTTGGAGTTTTAAAAAAAAAATTCTGATATATTTTTTGTTCTGGCAACATTAGTTTAAGTTTCCGCGTCGTTGGTCGTTGATTCTTTAATTGGATAATTAGTATCAGAGTTATTAATTTCTTTAAAGCATTTATGGTGTTATATTTTAAATGCATGTATTCAATAATTTGTTACAAAGAAAAAATATCTTCAGTTTTTACTGACAATGACAAAAATAAAAAAAATACATTCCATTTTCGAAAACATATTTATCAATAATAAATCTACTAAATAAAATAAATTTAAAAATATAAGACAAATACATAATATTTTAATAACACAATGCTATTTAAAGATAAGATTGTAAGAGTTCGGTGCGATCGTATTAAAGTAATCTGTATTGACATGTTTCCGCCATTTCGGTTTCACTGGTTCTGTGCCATCGGTTCATAAGGAATCCAGCCCGGGAATATTTTTTTACCTACCTCTGAGTTCGTTTTTTTTTATTTATTCGCAATGGCATTAACTGTGGCTTAATTATTTAGGTTTTATTGAGTCATCGGATTTAGTTTTTAAAGATTATTCTTTATTTAAAATGAAATTTATTTAAATTCATACATTTAAGAAAAGAACAAAAGTTCTTTCAATTACTAATCACAGATAATAAATATTTCTATCATCTACAAGTTGTCATTTTTAAATTATAATCAATTGTACACCATAGATTAAAATGAATTAATTATATTTATATATTTTACAAAGTAATTGATTATTACTACACTGTCTTTTAATATTATTATAATTTGAATATAAAATAGGCTTTATATGTTTGTGTTATGTAATTCGATACTTTATAATAGCCCGCATAACAAAACTTAAAATATAATAGTTGGACGTTCCTTTTCACGCTTCAGTAATTGCTCGTCAGATGACTGATATCATATTACAACGGTACCCCAGTGTGATTGTCTTTTATCCAGATGCTTCTAATTATGTTTAGTGTTTTGTGATTCTTAATACATCTACTTACTGTTACTCTATAGATGTAATGATAGAGAAAATTGATTTGAATTAATGCTACTACGTCGTTAGTGTATGCAATTATGTTATATACCTAGATTATAATAAAAATTTTAATTACCTTCGTATTCAATTATACAATATGAAGTATTACGTATTTCTTTATAACAACGATAAATTGAATTCAATACAATAGTATATCTGTCTGTTAATAATTAAATTGAAAGCGTCGGTTCCTTCCATTGTCTCTGATTTACAAAGCGATGTACAATTATGGAGGTCGTCAACACGACTTTTTATGGAATTTCAGTTTTACGACGTATTTTGATGGTCCGCCTTCAAACAGAGTGATATTTTGTAAATAAACAAGGCACTGAAATAACAGCGTCATTACCTTTGTAGCGCCGGTAGGTGTGACGGAACTTTGCTACATTTTCAGTTGTTTAATACTTTGATATGACGGATTTCGGTACAAAAAGGATTTAACGGCGGCGCCTTTGAACTGTTTCTCACGGTGTGGCACTACTTTAATTACTTTACTGTTTATATTGACACAATGAAAGATCTGTTGTACGTTTTCAATATAATACATTCACTATTTGTAATATTAATTAGGTATATTTGAATTTAATATTCTTTATTACGTGTTACTTTTGTAAAATATGAAAAGTATCTAGTTGTTCTGTCAAAAGTTTTGCAATACAAAGAACAGACGTTCACATTTATCTATTATTTGTTATATTTATTTAGTTCGTATCCAGGTATAATATAAAGCTTGGTACATGAAAGTAACAAGTGCTGATCAAATTATATGATGGTTGTAGGCATGTGTGAATGATAGGAGTCGGACTGGCTCGTATCCAAGCTTGTACTCATTGAAATATTAAACCAAGACGCCGCAATGCAGTCTCAGACATATGTTGCCAAATTATTTCAAGAAAATCATTTACGACTACATAGGCTGTGCGTGGTGAATGTGTTCCAAGCCTTAATATTAGAGCGAGATTGATTGTGAATTAAATCTTTGTTGTTTTGATAGAATGAGACGAAATTATGAACATAGATAATAAATAGAAATATAATGTCAAAAACAAAATGGCGTCTTATCAATTCGAATAATAGTTATTTGTTCATTTGTATTATAACTTCTGAAATATCAATGGAGATTCATAAATAAAATTGTAGTCATATTTAAATACTTATAAACATTATTAAAAGATATCATGATAGTCAGATCAATGTTTGTTCTCTGCCAAAACTTGGCTCATATTTGTGATAAAGTTTCATATCTTAAAATTTAAATTGACTAAGCAACAGGTAGATGGATGAAACATAGTTCAAACAGAAGTATCTTTTTTAATATCTACGCTTCTTGTAACTCAATGTATGTGTCATTCGAGTTTGGTTTTAGGTTTCCTAAATTTCTATTAGATTCTTTATAATCTATAGGAATAATATAATGATTTTATTCAAGCAAGGAATTTAGATTAATTTTTACAACTGAACTGTTAATGTAATAAAGCAATAACGTATAGATAAATACCAAAATTATTGTTCGTGATTCAACGTGGGCAGCTGAAACTGTGTCTAAGACACGATTAGATTAGTGTCGGCATTGTTCGACGGAGTGTACTGACACGCTACCACGTACATTCATTATGATGATGTCAGACACTTTGAGATTTTATATTTAGTGACAGTCAAACGGAAACTAGAATTGAATACATTAAATGTTCTAAGAAAACATGCAGCTAGTGCCAACTTTGTTTTTTAATTGCAAAACGTTTTTATTGACGGCTATTAATAGAAGCAATTAACACTGCATGGGTTCAAGAAATTAATATACATTATAGATGTACATTAATGATGTCTCGGCGCCTGTGTCTTTTTGCTTGATAAATGATCATAATATGACCTTAACTGAATGGTGTTATAAATTCGACATGCTCCTAATAAAATTGTAACAGTGGTTAAACAAATTTTCCAATTGTCATTCAAAGAACATTGGAGCGTCAAATAAAGTCGAGTGGCTTAAGGAAACGCAATTTCCTCGAAGGCAGTAAAGCGACAAACAGCTCCACAATGGGAATATCATGGAGGCAATTTATTACGATTGATCAACAAGTAGCTGGGGAAAACGGCACAGACGGAACGGAAAGAATGAAAACCCCAGCCGGTTGTAAAGGACCCTCCGAATCCCGACGCCGAAGTGAACAGTAGAAACTCACGCAAACATTCGTAATGCTCATGTACAATTCTAAAAACGCACACAAATGACACGAGGGAATCCCTCCGGCTAGACGGAATTATCTCGGGCTCTCTATTTCCGTTTCGCGTACTATTTAAATCACCTCTCCCTCCCACATCTGAGACCAGATGACGCCGTCTCTTTCTCATTCAGTTTCATTCATGATTGTGGATTTGAATGGTTTCGGTACGTGGCTCGCAATTCCACAAGTGTACAGTCACGGCCCGCTGACGTCTGCGTCCCGTACACTATATATATTTTGATTTATTAACGTACATTAACAATTCTATATGTACGGTAACGTATATGAAAATTGTAACAAAAACCGGATAATAAATAGGTTGGTTTAATTAGAATCGGCTTCCGTGATTGTTGAATGATGCTAGAAACTGTACGGCCTAGCGTGTGTTGACGATGTGTTGCTAACGTCTATAGTTTCACCATGTGTTGAGCTCTAATCATGTTTAATTACAGACAGAAGAAATCATTGCAGTTTATCATGATATGAACGGTTACATACATATAAATAGCGAGAGAATCATAGATTAAGGGGTTTTACACTTAGAAAGTACTTACAGACAGTAATACAACAATAATACCTTTATATTTGTTTATGTAGTGCTAATTTTGTATTCTTTGTTTTGAGTTATAAGTATTGTATAAATACATTCTTTTTATAGACGGAATTTAAGTAAAATGTTTAATTATAAAAAC